CAGTCTGTGAGCTGGAACTGTTGCTGAAGAAATGAGTCAGCCCCTTCCATCCAGATCTTCACAGATCTTGTTGTGGGTTTCACACGGTTGATGATTGGGGTGTACTTGGGGAGCAGGAACAAAGAGAGGTGGTCAGACTGTCCCAGGTGGGGGAGGGGTGTGGCTTTGAAATATAGAAGGGTCTGCACTTAATAATCAGGAATTCCAGATCAGCAGAGCAGTGGGTATCAACAACGACAGAGTCTGTGCACCATGCTTTGTTAACATACATGCAAACACCACCACCATGTCTCTTACCCAAAGCTATAGCTGACCTATCTGCTCTGAAGAGAGCGCACCCCTCTAGTTCTAACACACTTTTAGAAACATTGGTGCTTAGCCAAGTTTCCGAAAAAAAAAAAAGCAACAACATGAAACTGCAGTCCATAAGCCTTTTCTGTGTGAGGGTCCAGATTTTTAATTCATCCAGCTTGAATGGTAGGTACTGCTGGCCGGTGTGGGTTTAGCCTTAGCTTAGCACGCAGACCTCCACGCTTACCCCGTCTTTGTTTGCGGTCTTGACGCTAGTATCACGCTTTTCCGGTCAGTATGAATTGCTCGTTTGGTCTTGATGTACTGGTTAGCTTCGGGGGGTAGCTGGTTGAAGTCGAATGGAAGGTCCAAAATTATGTTTTGCAGCGGTGATTAATATCAAGCAGTGTCTGTCTGACGTATCCGAAGTTTGCACGAGTGATTCAAGTGAAAACGCAAGAGATTGAGACGTAAACGGTTACGCTAAAACTGGTGAGACACCAAGCCAGAGAACTTGTAGAGATGAGAATAACCACTCTGCAATGTCTTCTGGGTTTTTCAGACGCTAGAGGGCGCTCCCGAGTGAGTCCAAAATGAATGGGTTTATATGGAGCATTTGAGCAAAATCATAGTTTATAAATGCTTAAACATTTTTAATGTAAAAGGATACATTAATATCCTGAACATAGAACAGCATAAAACATTTTAACACTGCTGTTTTTTTTACAAGCTTTTAAACTCAAGTTATAGGAGTTTCAAAAGGCGCCTTATATATGTTCATGACGTCAGTGAGCGCGAACAGCCAATGAGCTGCTCCGCTCACCAATCAATCATCACGCTCTAGCAGTAATGCCTGTCTTCTGCTTCCCAAAACCCATTTGCTGTAGAAAAAAGGAAATATATAGGTAAGATCCTAATACTTTCTAATAAATCCTTATACTTTCTAAAATGAAAGGAAAGTTCTGGGCAGGTGATTAGAAATTATTTTAACTTTTCTTTTTTAGCCGTTGAGCGCCATTTACTCACATTCATTGAGGACTCACTCGCAGGTACCCTCTGCTGTTTGGCAGTCCTGTTTTTGATATAACGGGGGAAATAGGAAGTGGCCAGGCTCCTCATGAACCGATTCTGGCCGAGCCTCGCGATGCACACGCGCCTCCATCTTGGTCTTGTATGTTTATTTCCAGTACTGACTCATCTTCTGTATTTTTGACTTTGCCTATTTGCCTGATCGCTTTTGGACTCTGTTTGCCTATATTGTTATGTTTATTTTTCTGTACATCTTTTCTATTTTGAATTTGACCTGTGCCGTTTTTGACGATGACTCTGAATCACAATTCAACTAGTAAAGGCCACTTGTTAAGCCGTCATCAGCAAGTACTAGCATGGTAACACAGTCACTCGAGTCATTAGCTCAACAGCAGTCAGAGTAACAGACACAGCTGGTACAGCTCATAGCGAGCATCAAAGATCTAGCCAACCAACTGCAAACTTTGAGTACTGCTGACCAGTAGGAAAGCCCCACCAGTCCTTCTACCCATGCAGGAGCTCTTAGTTCTATTATTCCCGTGAATAAACCCGACAAATTTGATGGGAACCCAGACAAGTGTTGCAGGTTTTTGTTACAATGTTCGGTTTTTTTTCAATAATTCCCCTGCAAGTTCAGATCAGGCTAAGATTTCTTTTTTTAGTATCCCACTTGTCGGCTAGAGAGCTTTCTTGACCACTATGAGTACTTAGTAATGCCTTTCAGTCTCTCAAACTCCCCGTCGGTCATTCAGGCATTCATAAATTATGTTCTGAGAGACATGATTGGCAAATTCGCCATTGCCTACATCGATGACATACCTATGTACTCCCCGTACCTGGAAACTCATGTGAAACAAAGAATAACCAGTTTGTTAAAGGTGAAAATGTGAATTTCATCTCCAGTCACTCTTTCTAGGGTGCATCATCCTTTCCAAGGGCTTCAGTAACATCGCTGCACTTCTAACTGTGTTACTGAAAAGCACACACACAGACACATCATCTAAACCGCTTATCTTTCTGGGTCGCGGTGGGGTGCTGGAGCCTATCCCAGCAGTCATCGGGCGGAAGGCAGGATGTAAAAGAATACATTAATTTCCTGAACATAGAACAGCATAAAACATTTTAACACAGCTGTTTTTTTTTACAAGCTTTTAAACTCGAGTTACAGGAGTTTCAAAAGGCGCCTTATGTATGTTCATGACGTCAGTGAGCGTGAACAGCCAATGAGCTGCACCGCTCAACAATCATCACGCTCTAGCAGTAATGCCTGCCTTCTGCTGCCCAGAACCTGTTTGCAGTAGAAAAAAATAAAATATATAGGTAAAATTTCTTTGTTTTTTTAGTGAAATAAATCCTTCTACTTTCTAAAATGAAAGGAAAGTTCTGCCCATCGCAGGGCAGACAGACATACACACACTCACACCTAGGGGCAATTTAACATGTCCAATTGGCCTGACTGCATGTCTTTGGACTGTGGGAGGAAACCCACGCAGACACAGGGAGAACATGCAGACTCCAAAAAAGCAGTCCAACAAAATTAAATTGGCCAGTACAGGCAGAAAAATCTTTTCACACTCTTAAAGAGGCATTCACCACAGCCCCAATCCTGGACCACCCCGATCCAATGGCACCTTTTGTAGTCAACGTAGATACTTCAGAGACTGGGATCGCCGCTGTTGTTTCCCAACGTTCTGGCAATCCCTCAAAACTTCACCCAGTAGCTTTTTACTCTCACAAACTCTTGACTATTGCAAGAAATTACGAAATTGGAGTCCAAGAACTCTTTGCTGTTAAATTGGCATTAGAGGAGTGAAGACACTGGTTATAGGGTGCCAGTCATCCCTTCATTGTTGTAACCGACCACAAGAACCTAGAATATCTTTGCAATGCTAAACATCTTAACGCTCATCAAGCCTGATGGTCTCTTCTCTTCTCTAGATTTCATTGTAGTATTACATATTGCCCTGGATCTCACAATACGAAAGCTGATGCTCTGTCTAGAATGCACCAAGAAAATGCTGCAGACACTAATGAGACCAACTCCGAACCTACTTTTCCCCCAGATGTTACAATATCTTCTATTTGGTGGGAAATTGATGACAAAATTGAGAAGGCATTAGAAGACACCCAAATACCTAGTCAGTGCTCCCCAGAAAAGATCTATGTTCCCACTCAGTTCCACAATAGACTTATCACCTGGGCCCATTCATCCCTCACAACCAGTCATCCAGGGAAACACGCACACAGCAATTGCTTTGTAATCGGTACTGGTGGGAATCCATGTATCAAGATATCTATTAATTCGTAGCTTCATGCTCTACCTGTTCACAATATAAAACTCTTAAGACACTACCAGTCAGTAAACTTGTCCTCTTGCCTGTGCACGTCAGACCTTGGTTCCATGTAGCTTTAGACATTATTGCTGATCTGCCAGATTTGCAAGGGTTTACGACCATACTTGCTGTAGTGGACAGATTTTCCCATGGTGTGGTTTCATGTGGATTTATCCTGTTTGCCTCTCTCCCCACTGCATTCCTGCATAAACATTAGTTAATCAAGTATTTCTGTATTTTGGCATCCCGGAAGACATCCTGTCTGATAGGAGCCCGCAGTTCACCTCGTAAGTCTTGTGGGTCTTTTTTGAACATATAGGAGTCTCTGCTAGCTTAACCTCTGGATATCATCCCCAATCCAATGGACAAAGTGAACGCATTAACCAAGGACTGGGAGAATTTCTGAGGATGTTTTCCTGTAATAGCCCAACAGACTGGTCACGTTTTCTCCTGTGGAAATCGCCCAAAATTCATTGATTAGCTCAGCTACTGGACTAACCGCTTTCCAATGTGTGATAGGCTGTCACCCTCCTGTTGCACTATGGACTGGCATGGTTTCAGATGTTCCAGCCACAGATGCCTGGATGCAGCAAAGTGAGAGAGTCTGGGAGGAGACTTGAGAATTGAGTTTGCATTACAGTGCAATAAAGAACAAGCAAACATCAACATGGAGAGACTCCCATCTATCAGCTGGGAGATCGAGTTTGGCTATCTACAAGGGATGTCAGAGTCACTGAGGAAAATAAATAACTTTAGTCAAGTACATGGGTCCTTTTAAAGTACTTAAAAGAATTAATGAGGTTGCCTATAAATTGGACTTACCTCTCCATTTTAGAGTTCCCCATTTTTTCCACATCTCACTTCTTAAACCTGTCATTCCAGATTTCATGTCACCCCCACCAGAGCTATATACTGTCTCCAGGAGTCCATCAACCAGAGCTCCAGCACTTGGTAGATTGGGAGGGGTATGGCCCAGAGGAGCAGTGCTGGGTACCAGCCCGTGACGTTCTGGATCCTGGCTTAATCACTGACTTCCAAAGTCAGCATCCAGAGAAACCTACTCCTCGTCCTAGAGTTAGACCAAGGATGGTGCCCCCTAGTTCACTTTCTAATTGTCCTTGGGGTCATCGTAGATGGACCCTGTCTGTCCAGCGCTGTGGCAGCTCTGGGAATGCTCCCGTTCAGGTCTCTGGTTGTGGCCATGGTATTCGTCCTGGCCACCCCGGACTCTTCAGACTTTTTTTTAATGCATTATGGCTAAATTAGATGGCTAAATATGTGGCTCATGGTGCAAGTTACAATGCATTAGGATACAACATTGTTTTGAGCAACTGTTTCCTTTGCCAGGCTGCTGGTCATACACATGGCTGGAGTGCATGAACATGGTTAATCAGATGAGCAGGAACACCTAGTCAGCAGAAGAGGGGACAGATCCATGGATGAATTCTTCAGCTCCACTTTATGAGACTTACTAAGGTAATGCTTGTAAGGGGTTTAAGAATTGTTGGGATGTGTGAGTTCTTCATAAGTGTACGGCTGCTATGCCTGTGTTAGGATTTTGGTAGTACATGGCCACCGTGACAATGTCATCTTTGGGAACAGTGTCTCTGAAAAAGTGGGAATTGTTAAGGCATACAGTCACACATGAATCTCAAAAGGAGCATTTGGTATAGGCCACACTTTGTGATTTTCAGAATCCGTTAGCAGCTGTTATCACAGAACTGAGCATAGCACAAAAAGGGCCAAAGCCACCTTCACCGCCATGCAGATGTTTTGGTAGCACTGAGTACAACTGGTAGTAATGCTTTCATTTCCACAGTGAATCTCACTTTTGGCTATTGTAACATTGAATACATAGAGGTGTATTGCATGCACACCGCTTTCACCTCACCATTTGGATTATATGAGAATAACAGTCAACTGCAGGGCATATGTAATAGCCCAGCTCCATTTATCAGGTTGATACTCTCTGTTGCTATCTTACTATGCTGTTTTGCTGTGCTATTGCCAAATCAATATTCAGCTTAACTTGAAGACCCAGGTCTCAATAGTGTGAAAAAGGGGGAAAAAAGAAAGGTGACAAAAAGAATGCTTATCATGGCAGCTGAGTGTAAGTCGGCATTCCAATAGTTAAAACATGCTAAATTGTTCAAACCAGTCATACTGAGCTGTAGTCATCCAGACTTTAGCATTCTTGGTCTCTGTTGATGCCTCTTGTAATGCCTTGGATAGGATCTCTCTTAAGTGCATGAGGACGGAATAGAAGCATGACCAATTACGTTTAATAGTAATCTTATTGTCAGAGTGTTTAGCATACAGATTAAAATTCTTTGCTGTGATGGGGACAGTATGTCACAAATAAGCCACTGCTTGAAGGGATGCACTTTTACAGTATAGAACAAACAAACTCCTAACTTGCATTTTAACAAAAATCACAACTGGATTCTTGTGAGCAGAGATGGGTTGCCAAAATGTCCCCAATGGTTTTGACATCACCTGCATTCCAAGCCCAAAGGATAGTGACAGACTAGTAAAGAGACATTTTAAGGCCAAGTGCACTGCACTGCCTTATCCAGATTCTCTATCAAGAATTGCTTTCTTAGGAAATCAGGGATGATATTGGGTAGCTGTAAGGCAATGGGCTGATGCAGTTTTGTAGCTAGACTGATGCCAAGATTAGGCCCAGCCTATGCATGACAAGTGAGAGGTGTGACAGACATGACCATATACGGATAAGCAAAAATAGACAGCCTAAAATACAACTTCAGCGCATGCACACACAAAACTGCATATCATCATCATCATCATCGTTAACCGCTTAGTCCAGATAGGGTCGCGGTAGCAGTTGGGAGAGCAGAGAATCCCAGGTGACCCTGTCCCCCGCAACTTCCTCCAGCTCATTCCCGGAGACCCCAAGCCGCTCCCAGGCCAACTTGGAGATATAATCCCTCCAGCGGGTCCTAGGACGACCCCGGGGTCTTATTCCGGTAGGCCGTGCCTGGTACACCCCCACCGGGAGGCGTCCAGGGGGCATCCGGATCAGATGCCCGAACCACCTCAGCTGGCTCCTCTCAATGCGCAGGAGTAGCGGCTCTACTCCGAGCTCCTCCCGGATGGCCGAGCTCCTCACCCTATCAAATAGAGTGTAGCCCGCCACCCTGCGAAGAAAGCTCATTTCTGCCGCTTGTATTCACGATCTCATTCTTTCGGTCATTACCCACAGCTCATGACCATAGGTGAGGGTCGGGATGTAGACCGATCGGTAAACACTTCACCACTACAGTCCGGTACAGCAACCGCATTACTGCTGCCGCTTGTCCCAGCCTGCGGTCGATCTCACGATCCTTCTTCCCATCACTCGTGAACAAGACCCCGAGATACTTAAACTCCTCCACCTGGGGCAAGTCCTTTCCCCCTACCTGGAGTGGGCATACCATCCTTTTCCGGGCTAAGACCATGGACTCAGACTTGGAGGTGCTGATCCGCATACCAACCACTTCACACTCAGCTGAACAACATCATCTGCAAATAGCAGAGACGCCACTCTCTGGCCTCCACACATAATGCCCTCCTGACCCCAGCTACGCCTTGACACCCTGTCCATGAATATCACAAACAGGAGTGGAGACAGGGCACAACCCTGGCGGAGTCTAACGCTAACACTGAAAGAGTCCGACTTAATGCCGAGTATACGAACACAGCTCTCACTCCGGGCGTACAGAGATTGAATGGCCCTGAGTAGTAACCCCGGCACCCCATACTCCCGGAGGACCTCCCACAAGATATCTCGGGGAACACGGTCGTAAGCCTTCTCCAAATCCGAAAAACACATGTAGACTGGGTTGGCAAACTCCCATGCCCCCTCAACAATCCGTGAGAGGGTGAAAAGCTGGTCCATTGTTCCATGGCCAGGACGGAATCCACATTGTTCCTCCTCAATCTGAGGTTCAACTATCGGTCGAAGTCTCCTTTCCAGCACCTTGGCATAGACTTTCCCAGGGAGGCTGAGCAGTGTGATACCCCGATAGTTGGCACACACCCTCCGGTCCCCTTTCTTGAAAATAGGGACCACCACCCCGGTCTGCCAGTCCAAGGGTACTGTTCCCGAGGTCCATGCACTATTGCAGAGGCGTGTCAGCCATGACAGCCCCACAATATCCAGAGCCTTAAGCATCTCCGGACGAATCTCATCCACCCCTGGTGCCTTGCCACTGAAGAGCTTGCCAACTACCTCAGTGACCTCCACCAGGGAAATGGAGCTTGACATACCAGAGGCCTCTGGCCCTGACTCCCGTGAGGGAGGCATGTCACCCGTATTAAGGAGTTCCTCAAAGTGCTCTTTCCACCGACCGACAATATCCTCATTTGAAGTCAGAGTTTCTCCACCCCTGCTGAATACAGCTTGGGCCAAGCCACCCCGACCGCTCCTGAGTCGCCGGACAGTTGTCCAGAACCTCCTCAAGGCTGACCGAAAGTCTTTTTCCATGGCCCCACCAAACTCGTCCCATGCCCTGGATTTTGCTTCTGCCACCTTTTTTGCCGGTCGGTACCTATCTGCTGAGTCGGGAGTCCTCCGGGCCATCCAGTCCCTAAAGGCCTCTTTCTTCAGCTTGACGGCCTCCCTCACCACCGGTGTCCACCAGGTGGTTCTTGGGTTACCGCCCTGACAGGCACCCACAAGCTTTTGGCCACAGCCATGCCTGGCAGCTTCCACAATGGAGGTTTTGAACAGGGTCCATTCAGACTCCATGTCTCCTACCTCCTGCCGGACATGAGAGAGCTCTCCCGGAGGTGGGAGTTTAAATCATTCCGAACAGGGGCCTCCGGCAGTCATTCCCAGCACACCCTCGCTATTCGCTTGGGCCTACCGGGTCTGACCATTAGTCTTCCCTGCCATCTGATCCAACTCACCACCAGGTGGTGATCAGTCGACAGCTCAGCACCCCTCTTCACCCGAGTGTCCAGAACATACGGTCCCGAGTAGATGAAACGACAACAAAGTCGATCATTGACCTTTCAGCCAAGGAGCTCTGGTACCACGTACACTTATGAACATCCTTGGGTTGGAACTTGGTGTTCGTTATGGACCATCCATGCCTAGCACACAAGTCCAATAACAACTCACCATTCGGGTTTAGATGGGGCAGGCCGTTCTTCCCAATCACGCCTCTCCAGGTCTCCCAGTCATTGCCAACATGAGCATTGAAGTCTCCCAGTAAGACTATGGAGTCTGTAGTCGGGACCCTTTCCAGAACCCCGCCCACTTGCTCCAAGAAGGCTGAATACTCTGACCTGTTGTTTGGTGCATAAGCACACACAACATTCAGAGTTTTCCTCTCCGCGATTTTAATACGCATTGAGGTGACCCTCTTGTCCACCGGGACAAACTCCAACTGCACTGCCGCCAGCCGGGGACTCGTGAGTATCCCCACATCCGCCCGGCGCCTCTCACCTTGTGCAACCCTGGAGTAGGAGAGGGACCAACCCCTATCCAGGAGTTTGGTTCCAGAGCCGATACTGTGGGTGGAGGTGAGCCCAACTATATCTAGTTGGTACCTCTCAACCTCCCGCACAAGCTCCGGCTCCTTCCCCCCCAGTGAGGTTACATTCCACAGACCAAGAGCCAGTTTCTGCCGCAGGGGCCTAGGCCACCAAGGGCCCCCCTGCAATCCCCCACTGCCTGTACGGCACTGCACCACTCCCCCATGCTGGACCTTGCGGGTGGTGGGCCCACATGGTCCCCTCACGGTGCCTCTTCGGGCTGGTGGCCGGGCAGCTCACGTAACCCGGCCACCAGGCGCTCGCCGAGGGACGCTACCCCCAGGCCTGGCTCCAGGGGTAGGTCCCGATGACCCTCTCCCGGGCAGGGTACATGATGTTCTGTGTCCGTTTATCATGGAGGTTTTTGGATCGAGTTAGTCTGGGTCTTCACCCCAGACCTGTTCGCCCTGGGAGACCCTACCAGGAGCATGTTGCTCCCGACGACTTAGCTCTGAAGATCCCTAGACCACACAAGCCCTTCCGCCACGACAAGGCCCCGATATAAACTGCATATAATAACATATAACACAATACTAAACACATTACACAACCTTCATACCCCCCTTTAGAACATATTATAGAATGTATGTTCTCACAAGCTTAATCAATCTATCCTTTCCTCTTTCAGAGAAATATGGCCAGTATTTCCCTCTTTCTACACGTCCTAAAGACGGACCTCTTTCCCTTTAGCCTGCATACAGGCAAATTGGGGAAATGAAGTGTTTCCATGTTAATAAGGAATGCCTACGCTGGTGTAGTTTAGACATTAAGCACCAGAATAATTTGAGGCAAAAATAAATAACAATAGCTACTATTACTGGTGCTACAAAGGGGAATACATAACGGAGCAATTGCTGTAACATCCTGGAAAACATAACTCTCATAATGTTACCAACCCAGTTAAAGATCTTATCCTAAGATATCCTTCCGGAGCAGCGTTCGGAATGAGGCTATGAAGATCTGCAACATATTTATCAATATTTTCATAGTTATCTGGGATGTAGGTGCAGCAGGAAGTATTGAGAATGTGACACACACCTCCTTTTTCTGAGGTCAGCAAGTCTAAAACCTTCCTATTTTCCAGCACTACTTCTCGTAAAGCAGAGAGTTCATCATTTACTAAGTGGAGAGCTTCACTAGTCTCAGTTAGTTTCTGTGTGGAATAAGCCAAATACTTTATCTTCTGTAAGGCATCTTCAATACCTCCAAATGGAAATATTCCCCATCTCACAGTCTGCACTATACTAGACCAAGGGTCCTTTATAATGTGACCATTCCATGTTTGTATACCTGCTATGGTAATGCCAAGTTTTCTTTTCATATGACATGAAGGTCCATGAGATTGTAATGTGGTCCATGGATCGATATGGACTGTAGTATGAGGCATGACTATCGCCATGTAACAGGAACCGCACCATGAATCAGCTGGGTGTGATGGATGAGCCTTGTTTCCACAAACCCAATAGAAACCCAAAGGAAGTGGTTCACTCATCCAAATACCACATGAGTTAGTATTTGTGGTGGTAGAATGCTTACACCAAAATATGCCATTCCTAGAGAAGGCAGAGATTGAAACAGAACGTACTGTTACCCAGATACATGTCCTCTGGATAACAAAGTTTGTCAATACATACCCAGCTTGTGGAAGCCCACACAGGAATGGGATTGGCTAACCCATAATTCCAGCTAGATTTATCCCAATAAATTAAGTTGTAATTAGCTTTGCCAGCTATAACGGTATACTGCCAGCCAGCAATTTAACTTCAGACATCTAACAATGGGCAATGGCCAGTCATCTTCACTTATACCGTCTACCATCATTTGTGCTATTATTCTCCTGGGTTCAGAACCGAAATGATATGTGCATAAAGTTTGTGCAGAAATTAGACATTGGGATCACATAATAGCGGTGATGCAAGACATGACAAACAAAACAACCATCACCTCCTAAGGTATGATTTTGTGCCCACAGGATGGCCTGAGCACAGACCATGTTGTGGTCACAAACATCCTCCATTACACCTGCAAAACCTATTGTCAGAATGCTTATGAAAACTAGAGGTTTGCCTCTAGTAGTGGCATATCCCTCAATCCATCTTGAGAACTTGCAAATTATTATTAAACAGTCCTGTTTTCTCTGATATCTTGGCAAAGTGATGTAATCTACCTGCAATTCCTGAAAAGGCTCACTTGGTGGTGTTACAGTTTGGTAGGGGAGGGAGACTGCAGGGCCTGGATTGGCCTTAAGACAGGTGGAACAAGCTAGACAATGGCTCTTTGCATACTTGCGGAACTTAGAATTCCACCATACTTGGTTACACCTTGGAGTGTGTGTATGGTGGCCACCAAATAGGGACGCGGGGCATCAGGAGCCACATATTTACCCCCCTTAACCCAGATACCATCGCAAAGAGACACACCTTGCTCAACCCAAGTCCAAACTTCCTGTTGGTATAAAGCAAGCAGATCAGCCAAATTGTTAACAGCAGGTTGTTCACAGGGTGACAGGATATATTCAATAGGCAAAAGATAAACCCTTTTTGCTGCATTATCAGCTAAACAGTTGCCTAGGTGTTCAAAAGACGTGGCAGAAGAATGGGCTTTTATCTTAATAATAACAACCTGTTTTGGAAGGGTGAGCACTTCCATTAGATCTGCCACCTACTGCGCATTTTTCACTGGGGTTGCATTTGCTGTCAAAAAATGTCTCTGCTTCCATAACAAGCCATAACACTGTGGACATACTTTGAATCGACAAATCCATTAGCTTTTAAATCTTTAGCAAGCACACAGGGATGAGTTAGTGCTACCAGTTCTGCCTGTTGTGCAGAATAATGATCTGGCAATCTGCCAGTAGCTATTTCTTCATGCTGCGTTGTGACAGCCATCATCAAGGAAGCGGGATAAGCCATCTGTGAATAAAACGACATCAGCAATTGGCAAAGGTGTTTAAGCATACATAATTTGCACAGAACTACACACAAGAGTTTCACAGTCATGATCATCTGAATCATGCTCCAATTCCAGCAAATGATCTGAAATAGCCTTTACAGGTGCCCTTTTGATCACTATATTAGGGGCAGTTAAAACTGCATGCCAGTTACCCCACCTTTGTGCTATCACTGAAACAATTTGGATATTTAAAAGCAAAGAGGAAACTGAGTGTGGGCATTTCACAGTGAGAATCTGATCCAAAACAATAGGAGCAACAGCTAAAACAGACAGATAGGTTGCCTGGATTGCTCTCAGGCAAAGTGACATTCCAAGTGCGACCTTGTCTATTTTAACAGAGTAATAACACACATGCCTCTCTCTGTCACTATGATTTTGCGTTAAACAGCTACACACAAATCCTAGTGCTTCTGAAACATACAAGGTGAACAGCAGTTCCATGTTCACTAGGCCTAGTACTGGGGCACAGCATAAAGCAGTTTTAAGAGAATGAAAAGCTTGTAAATGATCATCATTTAGCTGAAACTCTGCTGAAAAGGCTTCTGAATTCCTGCTTTAGTTAGATCGAATAGCGGTTGAGCAGTTTTTGCATAATCTTCAATCCAAGGCTGACAGTAATTGCGCAATCCCAGAAAAGATTGTAGTTGCTCTAACTTGACAGGGGGTGAAATAGTCTGTACCGTGGCACACCGGTCAGGCAAAATTGACTTCTGAGCCTGTGAAACCAGCTTTCCTAAATACTGAACAGAGGACTGATTAACCTGGGCCTTTTTAAAAGAAGGTTTTTGTTCTACCGAATGCAAGTAATCTAACAAAGCTAAAAAGTCACATTCATGTTCCTCTGCATTTGAGGAAGCTATCAATATGCCATCTATATATTGTAGAACTGTACTAGTCATTGTTGCCGCTTCAGATGAGGCTAACTGTTTATGTAGGCTTTGATGATAAATAGTAGGTGAATTATGTAAGCCTTGTGGCAATCTCGCCCACTGTTATTGTTAGGAACTTACAATAAAAGCTAGCCATTGTTGATAATCTTTATGCAAAGGTACTGACCAAAATCCATTTGCCATATCAATTACAGAGAAAATACAGTGGTCTGGACGCAGTATATTAAAAATAATATTGTATTTCTAATGGTTCAGACAGGTGTAACTGAGTCTGACCAGTAACTCCAGAAGCTAAACTTTCTTCTTTTGACAAAAATATTTTTAATGTATTTGCCAGTGTTGAAGATAAGACAGATATTTTGGCGCAAGTATCAAACAAAAAATCAACGTCTAATTTTGTTAATTGAAACAGAGATTAAAGGCACTTTCACATTATCAGAGCAACGAGGTTTTGCATCCGTTCTATCCTTTCTCTTAATGGAATCATGCAAAGCTATGCGGTGTGACACAGTGAAAGTTTTATTCTTTTTTTAACTTTGACATGAGCTATGCTGACCTTGAACTGTGCAGCCAAAGAGTGTCATCTATTTATAGTCATTCTGTCACTGTAGAACATCAAAAAACATGTAGTATGTGTTTGAGAGTTTCTTGAATCATAAAATAACCTGTTAAAAATGATAATGTTTGTTTGAGTTCCTCTAACCAGTGGTTTGCCACCTTGATAGATGACATTGTTTTTTGTGTAACCACAACATTATCTGGCATACCTCTGGGGGCACATGTACCACACTTTGGGACCACTGCTATAGATCTTTTTCTCTTGCAATTTTGATCCAAAAGTTCAACTGGGCTTGCGCAGCATTTTTGTACAAGCCACCGAGCATCTGCACTTGTTGTGTCTCTCCACTCATTTATTTAGGCTTTAATTTAATTCGTCACCCATCTGTATGTTATATAACCTGTCATTATCACCATTATCATCATCATCTTTATCATCATTGTCAGTTTAATAAGGTTAAGACTCTTTACAATAACATAGTTTTATGGCCTTTATAACATCTTATGTTTGTCCATTATAACATTAGTTATGTAACTACAAGTACTATCAGTGACTCATGCCATTCAATGAAAGGCAGGGCTGTCCAGTCTTATCCACAAAGGGACGGTGTGGCAGTAGTTTTTTATTCCAAACAAACTGCAGAACATCTGATTATGTTAAATAACTTGGTCTTTGATCGAAATTGATCGCATGATCTCAGATGGTCGCATGTGTTCCTGTTTGTCCAGAATGAAAACATGCAGCCACACTAGACCTTTGTTGATAAGATTGGACACCCCTTACGTAAAGCATCTTATACTTGAAGCATTTAAGTATGCAGACTTTTCTCGAAAACAATAACAAAGATAACTTTGTTTCACAGGCTGAAGATTAATAACAGATACTATCACAAGGCTTTTCTGTCTTAGGAACCCACACACTTTTAGTCATCACATTACATAAGCTTTCATACCTCATGACATTTTTTAAAACAAAAAACAAACATTCTATAAACAACTGCCCATGCGCTTAATCTTTTCAAAAGAATAAATGAGGACAGTACTAGTATTTTCTTCATTTCTTATGTTGTCATTGTAAGAGGGTATACAAATAATGTATGGCATATTTTATTCTGAAATATCAAATATAACAGAGACAGAAACAGTTCATTAGCAAACAAATGTATGATAGGGATCCTTTAAAAAATGACGTTGTACTTAAGCATTCTGATTCATTAACTAACATGAAGCCACTCTAAAAGTTCAGTTTAATTTTCAGTATTACTACATGATGCAAACAAGACTGTAGGTATATACAAATTAAGTATCTAAGCAGCCATTTAAAAGGCATTTAACAAGTATTAGTGTCTCAAAGTAGTACAAGTACATTGTTTACACAGGAAACTTATGTGATTGGTCCTCTGGTTTCAGATGAGATATGATTTTGTCTACATTTGATGTCGTATAGCAGGGCAGCATAAAATTTTTCATCTCTTATGCCATAGACAAGTGGACTGACTGCCCTAGCGATGACACTGAATGTAATAAAGTTGAAAGAGCGGATTGACAGATATAAAAGTATATCTAGCTCTATAATTACAGTTTCAATGTAGGGATAAATAATCTCAAGAGTACACAGGATAAGCTGAAACATATGTAGTGAGATGGTACGCAGACCTTTGCCTGCTGACTTCTTGTCAACAGTGGCTGTCCGGACAGCAAGCACAATCATCAAATAGCAAAAGAACTCAGTGAGTAAAATTATAATAAAATCACTAAGATACATTATACCCCTCACTGTGCGGTGCCATTGCTCTGGTGTCATGATCTCGTAATAACAGAAGGTAGGCTCTAAAAAATATTCTTGTGAAACAGTTGCAACAAGGATAAATAAATCCACAAATGGCTTAATGTAGCTTATGATCCAGATGATAAGGATAGCAGTAAGAGTTCTGCTAGTGGTGGAGATAGCACTATGTCTCAGTGGCATGCAGATGGCCACATAGCGCTCCACACACATTGCAGTGATGGTTAGCGGTGTGCATATTGAGACTGTCTCCATGAGCATGCAAAATGGAATACAGAATGCCATAGGCATCAACACAGAGCCATATGAGAGAATGACCACAAAATCTGTCAGTATAAGAAAAACCACATCAGCCAGTAAGGTGTTGGCAAACAATATGTAACGTGTTTCAGTTCTAAAAGCCTGTTTTCTGTAGAAAGTGAAAAGCATGAGGATGCTTATGTAGACAAAAGGCCACACAAAAATCTGGGTTATGGCCAATGATAAGTCCTTCCTCAGTGAGATAGAACTGACCAGCTGCAACTGGTGAAGGCTGCTGCTTTCATTCTGAGTGTTATTACAATCTGCTGTGCACATATCTAGGAGAAAAAAGTTTCAAAACAGCAGCGTGACAATTTAACAGACATTAAAAACAAAAGTCAATGAAAACTTGCTAAAGTTAACCTGCCAATAATTGTAACCATACAGGACTTGAGTGTTGCATAATTAATATATAAATATATATATAAAATATATAATATAAATTAATTTTAAAAAATACATCTCCTGCTGCCAAAAGTATATAACTTTACATTTGTGTTGTCACAGCAATGATAAAAAATGTAAAAATTTCATCAGAAGTCACATCTCTAGTGATATATCTACCTGTGGTAATACTGGAGCCAAATGATAGAGAGACTCTGGGCATGGTATTTATAGATATACCGTGTCTGACCAGTCTGATTTTAATATGTAATTGTCAACATGAGGGATTTACTGTGTTTACTGTGTATGTGCTATAATTGGATGGTGGGGGGAGTTAACCTTTGTGCAGTAATCATTTGGTAGTACAACATATTCACATAAGATTTAGAAGAGCTTAAAAAAGAAAAGAACCCTAATCAGGTAGTTTGGAAATAAACAAGCAACATGACTGAAAAGCAACTAACACTATTTAGCTATTTAATATATCCATATTTTATTCACAGTAGAACATAGAACACATATCAGATGTTGAGACATTTTACCATTTCATGAAAAACATTGTCATTTCAAACTTGGTGGCAGCAAGTTCTTTCATATGTTACATGACTCAACAGGTTTAGCATGTGATAAAAACTATAATAGCCGTACATAACAGACTTCACCTAAAGCCTTTTTTTCAGGTAAAAGGGACATGGTATATTTTTTTTAGGTGAAAATCTAGTGTGCACCAGATATTATCAGATGAGCATCCCATACTATGTGGTGAGCACTCAATACTATCAGGTGAGCACTCAATACTATATGGTGAGCACCTGATCCTATCAAGTGAGCACCATATATTACGTGTTGAGCAAACGATACTAATAGAAGAAATTATATATACAAATACATAAATATATATATTTTTTAAATGTATACACATGTATATGTATACATGTGTGTGTATTTATATATTTGAAAATTGACATTTCGTAGTCTAATAACATGGCCAATTCTCCCTTAAATGATCTCAAATTTTAACAAAATGTGTAAAAACTAACCATGTTTAATTTTAATGGGGTTTTTCAGGTTGAAGAATGGCTTTCATTAGAAATGAAAAGGCATTTTGTGTGTTAGAATATGCTCAAACGCAGTCAAACAAGAGTGTCCAGCGTGCATTTTCGAGAAAATTCAATAAAAATGCATCAACTGAAAAGCAGATTTGGACATGGCACAAAAAATTCAAATAGGAAGGCTATCTGTGCAGGGCAAAGGGATCTGGACGACCACCAGTATCACTCCTGTTTTGGCTTTGTTCTTTTTGTGTATGTGTTTTCTCTGGTTACGACCATCGCCCATTTTTTAGACTACGCTTTCGCCTGCTCGTATGTATTTTGTCTTGCTATTCTGGTTATTGACCTAGTCTGATGTTAACCCTGTTTATCTCCGTTTGAATAAATCTTCTGGGTTCATTTTTATGCACGTGTGTCTGATCTGCAAACCCAACATTACAGAATACTTCGCCAACATGCAGACAGCGAATATTAAGGAGATCATCTCGGCTGTAAGTAACCAGGATGCTATTTTAAATCAACACAATCAGTTATTTGAGTCTCTTATTCACTCCGTCGGCTCCCTCACACAACAGCAGAGTGAGCAACAACGGCAGTTACCCTCAATAGCGAATAGCTTTAAGGAGATCACCTCTCAGCTGCAGAACATGATTGCCAGCGAATCTAGTGAAACTAATCCTAGCCCTTTTGTTTCTCTGCCTACTCCAATTAGCGTTTTCCCTGTTAGTAAGCCTGGCAAGTTTGATGGTTCGCCAGACCAGTGTCACAGGCCGAGCCAATGCAGTGTGACTCCACCCTTCTGTCACAGGAGGAGCGACTTCGAAGGTTACACAGAGGCCCGTGCATGTATTGTGGCGTTGCTGGTCACATTTTATGTGACTGTCGGGCGCGTCCGCATAGACCTCAGGCGCCGACCCCTGGAAAGCGTGTGGAGAATACTCCATGCGCTAATGTGGTGAGTGCTCCCACAAGGCGGTTGGTTACGAAGTCGTTTCAAATGCCTGTGATTTTGTGTTGCCTCAATTCTGTATGTTTTTTCAGCCCTAAACGACTCTGGAGCAGAGGGAAACTTCATCCACCAATCCCTTGTAGAGTAACTTCAGCTTCCTGTTGATTGTTCCTCTTGTTCGATTGTCAGTGGTGGATGGAGACCCAGTTGGAGAGGGTGTCATCGATACACTCACAAGACTTGTCACTCTGTACACCAGCGCTCTTCACAGGGAGGAAATCAGCTTTTTTGTTTTGAACACCTCGGCCTATTCAGTGATTTTAGGTTTGCCCTAGCTGCACAAACACAACCCAAACATTTCCTGGTCTGACTGTGAGATCCATAGCTGGTCTCTCTTTTGTCACAAGCAATGTCTTGAACTTCCCAGCCTTATTTTAAGCTCCACATCCATTGAAAGTCCAAATTCTGACCAACCCTTAACTACCCTTCCAGATTATGACAACCTAAAAGCAAGAACAAGGCCATTGAACTTCCTCCTCACTGTGAATATGACTGTTCTGTTGAACTTGTTGAGGGTGCTGTTCCTCCTAAATCTAGGGTTTACCCTCTTACTCAGGAGGAGGATAGAGCTATGGAGGAGTATATTCAGGAGGCCAGTAGCCTTGGAAAACCTTAGAGGAGCCACTATTTTTTCCAAGTTAGATTTACGCAGTACCTACAATCTTGTCAGAATTAAAAAGGGAGACGAATGGAAGACTGCATTTATCACCACCAGGGGTACTATGAATACTTAGTTATGCCTTTTGGCGTTTCTAACACACCTTCCGTCTTCCAGACCTTCATTAACAATGTGCTGAGAGACATGTTAGGCAAATTTGTCATCGCTTATATCGATGATATCTTGATTTACTCCCCAGATTTTCCCACACACATTAGTCATGTCTGTCAGGTCTTGGCCCGGTTACTAGAGAATCAATTGTATGTAAAAGGGGAGAAATTCCATTTGCAGTCCACATCCTATCTAGGATACATAATCAGTTCCGAGTGAGTCATCATGGACAACTCTAAAGCAGACGCAGTACTGAATTGGCCCATACCCACCTCTATTAGGGGTTTACAGCGTTTTCTTAGATTCGCCAACTTTTACTGCAGATTTATTCATGGGTAGAGCTCTATTGCAGCCCCATTGACAGCACTTTTGAAAGGTAACGCCAAAAGGCTAGTCTGGAACCCCCAAGCTGAGAAAGCTTTTAACTCGTTAAAGTCCGCTTTCATCTCCGCTCCTGTTTTAAAACACCCTGATCCTACCCAACCCTTTGTGGTTGAGGTTGATGCCTCTAATGTTGGTGTAGGAGCTGTTCTTTCTCAGCGTGTGGGCTCACCACCTAAGTTACACCCGGTAGCGTTTTACTCCCATAAACTCACCTCAACTGAACGCAACTATGGCATTGGTGATAGGGAACTGCTAGCCATGAAGTTTGCTTTCGAAGAATGGCGTCATTGGTTAGAGGGTGCTGAACATCCCTTCCTCGTGCTAACAGATCATAAAAATTTACCTTACCTTCGGTCAGCTAAAAGACTCAACCCCCCGCCAGGCACGTTGGTACCTCTTTTTCAATAGATTCCAATTCACTATCACGTATAGGCCCGATACTCATAATACCAAGGCAGATGCTTTATCCAGGGCTTTTAATGAGGAGAATCAGATGACTGCTACCTGAGAAAATGTCTTGCCTCCCGAAATAATTGCAGCCTCCATCCGTTGGGCAGTAGATGAGGATATAGATCAGGCATTAGCGACTGTTGAGGTCCCTGAACAGTGCCCCCCAAACAAGAAATATGTACCTGGCCAATTCCAAGACCGCATTACTACCTGGGCTCATTCCTCCCTTTTGTCAGGACATCCTGAGGAGACTCGTACACAACAACTCATATCAAACAGGTACTGGTGGGAGAACATGTTAAATGATATTCATAGGTTCATAGCGTCATGCTCCACGTGTTCACAGTGTAAGGTCCCCAAGTCCCTTCCTGCAGGAAAACTTCTACCGTTGCCCATTCTTACATATCCTTGGTCACATATACCAATAGACTTTACCCAAGTCTGAAGAATACACTACCATTCTTACTGTTGTAGACCGTTTTTCCAAGGGAGTCAGATTCATTCCATTTACAGGTATACCTAATGCTTTTCAAACAGCTGAGGCATTATTTCAACATGTGTTTCGTCTTTTTGGCATTCCTGAAGATATTGTGTCAGACCAGTTAACCTCCCAGGTTTGGTCAGCTTTTTTTTGAAAGACTGGGTGTAACAATCAGCTTAACATTGGGTTACCACCCACAATTGAATGGTCAGTGCGAGAGAGTCAATCAGGAGTTGAACAAATTTCTGAGATTGTATAGTCACGAAAATCAATCAGAGTGGGCTTGTTACTTACCTTGGGCAGAAATCGCACAAAATTCCCTTATCTGTTCTTCTACAGGTCTCACTCCCTTTCAGTGTATCTACGGTTATCAGCCTCCCGTCACCCTGGTCAGCCCTTCGGATGTTAAAAGCACTTTAGCATTCCAATTTGTACAAGCCAGCCATACTGACTCCATATTTAGCATTCTTGGTCTCTGTTGATGCCTTGTGTAATGCCTTGGCTCAGATCTCTCTTAAGTGCATGAGGATGGAATAGAAGCATGGCCATTTGCATTTAATAGTAATCTTATTATCAATCAGAGTCCAGCATACAGATTAAAATTCTTTGCTGTGAGGTGGGCAGTATGTCACAAATAGGCCACTACTTGAAGGGATGCACTTTTACAATACAGAACAAACAAACTCCTCACTTACATTTTAACAAAAATCTTGTGAGCAGAGATGGGTTGCCAAAATACCCCCTAATAATTTTGACATTAACTGCATTCCAAGCCCAAAGGATAGTGACAGACTAGTAAAGAGACATTTTTGAAGCTAAGTGCGCTACATTGGCTTACCCAGATTCTCTATCAAGAATTGCTTTCTTAGGAGATCAGTCATGGTGCTATGGACTGAACTAGACACTGAGCATAGAGACAGGACAAGTAACAATATAATTGCATGGCCAGCTAATTGAAACAATTATTAAAGGAACTTTCACATTATCAAGGTTTTGCATTTCTTCTTTCTCTTAATGGAGTCGTTCAAAGCTGTGCAGTGTGATGCAGTTAAAGTTTTATTTTATTTAAATTTGATATGAGTTACACTGACCTGTGCAGCCAATGAGTGTCAGCTATTTATTGCTATCTTGTCACTGTAGAACATCAAAAAACATGTAATATGTATTTGAGAGTTTCTTGAATCATAAAACAATCCATTAAAAATGATGATGTTTGTTTGAGTTCCTTTAACCGGAGCTTTGCCACCTTGATGGATGACATTGTTTTTTTATGTACCCACAACATCATCTGGCATACCACAAGTACCATAGTTTGGGAACCACTGATGTCTTTTTCTTTTGCCATTTTGATCCAAAAGTTCAAATAGGTCAACTGGGCCTGCGTAACCACAGAGCATCTGCACTCGTTATGTTTCTCCACTCATTTATTCAGGTTTTAATTAAATTTGTCACCCGTCTATATGTTATATAACCTGTCATTATCATCATCATCATCATCACCTTTATCATTGTTAGTTTAATAAATTAAAGGCCCCTTCACAATAAAATACATAGTATTATGGCCTTTACAACGTCTTACATTTGGCTAAGTCTTATCCACAAAGGGACGGTGTGGCAGTAGCTTTTCATTCCAAACAAGCTGGAGCACACCTGAATGTCAAATCACTTGGTCTCAGTCTTTGAACAGTTGATCTCATGTGTTCCTGCTTGTTTAGAATGAAACATGCAGCCACACCTTTGTTGATAAGATTGGACACCACTTATGCAAAGCATCCTATATAATACTTATGTATAATATGCATTTAAGTATGCAGAATTTATAAGAAGTGTTATCGAAAACAGTAACAAAGATAACTTTGTTTTACAAGCTGAAGATTAATAACAAATACTAATACAAGGCTTTTCTGTCTTCGGAATCCACACACTGTTAGTCATCACATTACATAAGCTTTTATACCTCATGATATTTTTTAAAACAAAAAACAAACAATATGTAAACAACTGCCCATGCACGTAATCTTTTCAGTAGAATCAATGTGGACATTACTACTACTTTCTTTATTTCTTATGTTGTCATTGTAAGAGAGCATACAGATAATGTGTGGCATATTTTATTCTGAAATATCAGACAAATATGACAGTGACAGAAACATATGTTCAGTGGCAAACAAATTTATGATAGATATCTTTTAAAGAATGACTTTGTACTTAAGCATTCCGATTCAGTAACTAATATTGAGCAACTCCAAAAGTTCAGTTCAATTTTCAGTATTACTAAATGATGCAACAGGGGAAATAAGACTGTAGGTATATACAAATTAAGTAGCTAAGCAGCCATTTAAAAGGCATTTAAGAAGTATTACTGTCTCAAAGTAGTAACATTGTTTACACTGGAAACTTAGGTGATTGGTCCTCTGGTTTCACATGAGATATGATTTTGTTTACATTTGATGTAGTATAGCAGGGCAGCATTAAATGTCTCATCTCTTATGCCATAGACAAGCGGACTGACTGCCCTAGCGATGACACTGAATGTAATAAAGTTGAAAGTGCGGATTGACAGATATAAAAGTATATCTAGCTCTATAATTACAGTTTCAATGTAGGGATAAATAATCTCAAGAGTACACAGGATAAGCTGAAACATATGCAGTGAGATGGTACGCAGACCTTTGCCTGCTGACTTCTTGTCAACAGTGGCTGTCCGGACAGCAAGCATAATCATCAAATAGCAAAAGAACTCAGTGAGTAAAATTATGATAAAATTACTTATATACATTATACCCCTCACTGTGCGGTGCCATTGCTCTGGTGTCATGATCTCGTAATAACAGAAGGCAGGCTCTAAAAAATATTCTTGTGAAACAGTTGCAACAAGGATAAACAAATCCATAAATGGCTTAATGTAGCTTATGATCCAGATGATAAGGATAGCAGTAAGAGTTCTGCTAGTGGTGGAGATAGCACTATGTCTCAGTGGCATGCAGATGGCCACATAGCGCTCCACACACATTGCAGTGATGGTTAGCGGTGTGCATATTGAGACTGTCTCCATGAGCATGCAAAATGGAATACAGAATGCCATAGGCATCAACACAGAGCCATATGAGAGAATGACCACAAAATCTGTCAGTATAAGAAAAATCATGTCAGTCAGTAAGGTGTTGGCAAACAATATGTAACGTGTTTCAGTTCTGAAAGCTTGTTTTCTGTAGAAAGTGAAAAGCATGAGGACATTGATGTAGACAAAAGGCCACACAAAAATCTGGGTTATTGCCAATGATAAATCCTGCATCAGTGAGAGGGAACTGACCAGCTGCAACTGATGAAGGCTGCTGCTTTCATTCTGACGTGTTATTACAATCTGCTGTGCACATATCTAGGAGAAAAAAGTTTCAAAACAGTAGTGTGACAATTTAACAGACATTAAAAAATGTAAGTCAAAAAAAACTTTTTAAAGATAACCTGCCAATAATTTTAACCATACAAGACTAGAGTGCTGCATCATTAATGATACAGTATAATTCAACAAAAATACATCTCATGCTGTCACAAGTATATAACTTTTAAATTTGTGTTGTGACAGCAATGACAAAGCATATATATCTTCCACCAGAGGTCATATGTCCAGTAATTTATCTACCTGTGGTAATAATAGAACCACATGATAGAGAGACTCTGGGCAGACATATGTATATATACAGTGTCTGACCAGTCTGATTTTAATATGTAATCATTGACATCCGGGATTCATAGTGTTTACTGTGTATGTGCTATAACTGGATGGTGGGGGGAGTTAACCTTTTGGGCATGAATCATTTGGTAGTGCAACATATTCACTTAAGATTTAGAAGAGCTTAAAAATTAGAAAAACCCTGATGAGATATTTTGGAAATAAACAAGTAACATGATTGAAAAGCAACTAACACCACTTGTGCAGATTGATACAACCCCAATTCCAAAAAAGCTGGGATGCTGTGTAAAATGTAAATAAAAACAAAATGCAATGATTTGCTAATCTCTTAGACCCATATTTTATTCACAATAGAACATAGAACACATATCAGATGTTGAAATTTGGAACATTTTACCATTTCATGAAAAACATTAACTCATTTATAACTTGCTGGCGGCAACACATCTCAAAAAGTTGTGACAGGGGCAATAAAAGGCTAGAAAAGTAAGTGGTACTAATGAAAACAGCTGGAGGAGCAATTTGCAACTAACTCACATGGCTGGGGTTAAAAATAGCATTTTAGAGAGGCAGAGTCTCTCAGAATCAAAGATGGGCAAAGGTTCACCAATCTGCGAAAAATATCCTCTAAAAATTGTGGAACAATTTCAGAAAAATGTTCCTCAACATAAAATTCCAAGACTTTGGATATCCCACCATCTACAGTGCATAATATCATCAAAAGATTCAGAGAATCTGGACAAATCCCTGTACACAAGGGACAAGGCCAATGGTCAATATTGGATGCTTGTAATCTTCAGACCCTCAGGCAGCCATGCATTAAAAACAGGCATGATTCTGTTCTGGAAATCACTGCATGGGCTCAGGAACACTTCCAGAAGTCATTGTCTGTGAACGCAGTTCGCAGTGCAATCTCAAATGCAAGTTAAGTTTGTATCATGCAAAAAAGAAGAAGCCATATGTCAACACAATCCAGAAACACCACTGTCTTCTCTGGGCAAAAGCTCATTTAAAATGGACTGAGGCAAAATGGAAAACTGTTCTGTGGTCAAATGAATCAAAATTTGAAATTCTTTTTAAAAACCATGGATGCCATGTCCTGCAGATGAGAGGGACCATCCAGCTTGTTATCAATGCACAGTTGAAAAGCCTGCATCTCTGATTTTATTAAGTTGGCATTAGTACCTTTGACGTGGACAGCTTACACATCTGGAAAGGCACTATCAATGCTGAACAGTATATAGAAGTTTTAGAACAACATATGCTCCCATCCAGACAGCGTCTCTTTCAGGGAAGGACTTGCATATTTTAGCAAGACAATGCTAAACCACATAGTGCATCCATCACAACAGCATGGCTTTGCAGAGGAAGAGTCTTGGTACTTAACTGGCCTGTCTGCAGTCCAGACCTTTCACCAATAGAAAACATTTGGCACATCATGAAACTAAAAACATACATACATCATATGTATTTTGTGTATAGTTCTGGGGCTGCAACAGAGACTGATTTTTTTCCCTCTAAGAATACATTTTATGTGGTAAGAATTTAGCTAAATATTACAAAAGTGTTCATACTTAGTTACTGACTCCACCTTAAGTAGGCCTTCTTCAGGGAAAGCTTCAGGTTTTGTATGTTCTTTGTGAAACACCACTCTGAATTAAGTCTGATTTTGGCATTTAAAGAGTCTTAATATGTAAAGTTCAATCAGCTGCTTAAATTTAATGACTTGATGTGAAAATGTACCTGCACTTGTAGAACTGAACTTTTTATAGAACTTTCTTTTCTTATTCTTCCATATGTTACATGACTCAACAGGTTTAGCATGTGATAAAACCTATAATGGCCATACATAACAGACTTCACCTAAAGCCTGTGAAGACCAGGCATCGTGATTTATTTGATTATATATACTTTTAGAAAGCTTTGATTCTGAAGATAATTTTCCAACAAAAATTAATATTTTAATGTATTATCACAGATGCCCAAATATGTGGCTCATGCCACAAATTACACTGCTTTAAGACACAGCATTGTTATGAAAGACTACACACAAGATTACACACATGGCTGGAGTGCCCAAACATGGCTAATCAGATGAGCAGGAACACCTAGTCAGCAGAAGAGGAGATATATCCAGCTCTACTTCATGAGATGTACTAAAGTAACGCTTGTAGGGGGTTGAAGAATTGTTGGGATGTGTGAGCTCTTCATAAGTGCACGGCTGTTATGCCTACGATTTTGGTACATTTTGGCAACAATGTCCTAACACATCAGACAGTTGAAACTGGGGAAAGGCTTCATGGATAAGGTGATATCCTGTGGAATCTCTGAAGCTGATGAAGACAAACTTATCCAGCTACTGGATCAGTATGGAGCCCCTGAAGGGACAAGGTGTATTTTTTTCAGGTACAAATCTGGTGTGCACCAGATACTATCAGGTGAGAACCCAATACTGTGTGGTGAGCACCATATTCTATGTGTTGAGCACCCGATACTAACAGAAAATATCTATACACACACACACACACACACATATATGTATATATATATATATATATGTGTGTGTGTGTGTATGTGTGTGTGTGTGTGTGTGTGTGTGTGTCTGTATCTGTATATGCATAAACAATGTCAGTGTTCACTGGCGACAGATGGCACAAAAACAAATAAAACAACTTAAAGATGATAAGGTAAGTTTTATGTTCAGACAGACATGAAAACCTTAATAATTTACCAATTTGTCCCTACCAAAGAGATACCGCTAAATGTATGCCGTCTTTTCTAGATATAGTTAGCTATGTGAAAACCCTCATAAAGTCCTAGCTGCTGAATGAAATGGTAAAACTGTCCGTGCTCTTTTCATTTTTCCAAAATAAAAACATAACCCACCGAATGGAATCGTTTATCCGTTTTGCGAGGAGCAAAAGTTATCATTGTCACTTGAAAACATTTTGCCTGCTTGCTCATTTTTGTTGCGGGTGTGTATAGTTTAAATGCAAAAAAGTCATGTCTGGGCAAGTTAGCTAGTTATGTAGTTTAAGCAACTGAGCACGTAGACAGTGTTCTTGGCTAGATAGCTAGCTAGCTAACATACTAGTAGCAAAGTGCTAAATGGTAGCTAAATAGCCTAAACTGAAAGGTAGCTACGAATATATCTCAATGTAAACAGAGTTTTAAATTAGCAACTTACTGTAACTTTTCTTGCTGAGTAGCTAGTTGTTTTATTTTTTATTGTGGAGTGTTCAGCACAGAGTAAACGTTAGCTAGCATTAGCTAGCTAACTATGATGAAAAGTGCATAAAGCAGGAGGCTTCTTTTTTCATTTAGGCTACTTTCAGCAAGCCTAACATGTATTGTGTAGAGAACAACACAAGCCTTATAGCTAACCAAGTTAGCTAGCTAACTTTATCTAGCAAAGGCAGCCTACATTTAGCTAATTTATATCTTTTGAAAGGGAAATTATTCAAGTTTTTATTGCTGTCTGAAGAAATAAACATACCTTATCATCTGGAACTACAGCCGATTCGGCCGCCTCTGACTACATTTCTCAGAACCCCTCAATCCCTCAGGACTCATCTAGATTCACCTATCACCGCTCAGCTTCTCCAGACTTCTAATCACATCCACCTGTTCTCTTGGGTATAACCTGTCTATTTGGTTCTGCTCACTGCGAAGTATCATCACTTTTAGCTGTTCGTACCATGCCTGTCTCCATGTCTGTTAGCAAGTGACTGTGTATGACTGTTTATGACCTGATTTTTGTTTTGCCCTTTGCTCTGTTTTGGATCTCTCTGTTTTGGATCTCTCTGTTGCTCTCTCAACCACTGTTTCTGCTTCTACTGGCTCAGCCTCTGTGAGTACTACCGTAACTTTTTCTGTTAGCAAGCCTGATATATTTCACAGATCTACTGACAAATGTAGGGTGTTGTTGCTCCAGTGTTTGTTGTTTTTCAGTAACGCACAGTTTAGTTTTGATCAGGCCAAAATAGCCTTTGTTACATCCCGTTTATCTAATAAGGCTTTAGAATGGGCTACAACTTTTTTATTAACAGTTCTTGAAAGAATTTCTGACTTGTTTTGATCACCTTCATGATGGCTGCTCTTGTGGATAACTTTTATGTAAACTAAGAAAAGGCAATAGCTCTGTTTCCTCTTATGCTCTGGAGTTCCACACCTTGGCTGCTGGTAACGGCTGAAATGAGCCTGCTTTATATGTAGGTTTTCGTAATGGACTCAATCCAGAAATACTTACTGAACTGGCATGTACATATGATGAATAGATGTTAGATCAACCAATTACGTTAGACCAGTTCCAATTTCAAGTTCTAGCTCCAGCTCCCATTCCTGTACTGGATCCAGTTCCAGCTCTGCTCCCGAACCCATGCAGAGTGATTCTTCAAGGCTGTCCAGAGAGGAGAGGCTTCATGGAGGTCTGTGCATGTATTGTGGCGCTGCTTGTCATGTTTTACGTGACTGTGGGGCTCGCCTGCACAGACCTCAGGCACGACAGGATTGGATTTGGTTTCGAAGTCTGTTCTCCTCCCTGTAACTGTTCACTGCTGACAATTCTTTCTTCATTCCAGCTCTGATCAACTCAGGAGCTGAAGGAAATTTCCTGCATTCAGGCGTGGTGGCTCATCTCCAGATCCCTGTGGAACCTCTTCAGACACCCCTTAAAGTCACCACGCTGGATGGAGGACCCATTAATGTGGATCCTATCACTTTCATCACCCAACCAGTCCAGTTGGAGGCTAGCTATTTTCACAAAGAACAGCTTTCATTTCTAGTTATTGACTCTTCTGAATTTTCTGTTATTCTAGGACTACCTTGGCTTAAGAAGCATATCCCTCAAATCTCATGGCCTAACCATAAGATCACATCATGGTCAAAATTCTGTTTTACATATTGTCTCACTTTCCCAGTGCTTAAAGTCAGATCTTAGAAAGCCGAGATCCCACATACTATACATAAATTCCTTCTGTATTCACCCAGATTTGCTCAAAGTGTTCAGCAAAAAGAATGCCACAAAACTTCCTCCTCACCGTCCATGTAACTGTTCTATAGATATCTTAGACGGTTCTGCTGTTCCTAAATCTTGTGTCTATCCCTTGACACAGACAGAGGAGAGAGCCTTGGGGGAATACGTTGACAAGACACTGTCTCGAGGTTTTATTCGCCCCTCAACGTCCCCGACCCCATCTGGATTTTTCTTTGTGAAAAAGAGGGATGGCAGTCTTAGGCCTTTCATTGATTACAGAGCCCTCAATATTATCACAAAAAATTGCTTACCCACTGCCTTTTATCCCAATTGCTTTAGAACAACTTTGTGGCGCAAAGTTTTTGACTAAGTTAGATCTCCGCAGTGTCTGCAACTTAGTCTGTATCAAGGAGGGAGATAAGTTGAAAACAGCTTTCATCATCATTAGAGGGCACTATGAGTACTTAGGAATGCCATTCGGTCTGTCTAATGCTCCATCCATTTTCCAGTTCTTCATAAACTATGTCCTCTGAGGCATGACTGGGCAATTCATGATTACGTACACAGATGACATTTTGATTTACTCCCCTGATTTTGACACTGTGCCAGCAGGTCTACAATGTCCATTAGAGAATGAATTGTATGTGAAAGGAGAGAAGTGTGAATTTGATTTGCAGAAAGTATTATTTTCGGGATACTCAATAAGTGGCCAGGGCAACGTTATGGATGACCGAAAGGTAGACGGCATACTTAACTGTCCCACTCAACGTCCATCAAAGTTTTGCAAGTTCCTGGGTTTCGCCAACTTCTACCATCGTTCATTCGAAATTTTAGTACTCTAGCTGCTCCCCTCACTGCTCTACTTAAGGGAACATCCAAAAAGTTACAGTGGAGTTCAGCAGCTGAGAATGCTTTTAGTAAAATAAAGGAGGCATTCACCTTTGCTCCCATTCTTCAGCACCCTCATCCTAACTTGCTCTTTGTAGCAGAGGTTGATGCTTTAGAGACTAGAGCAGGTGCTGTCTTGTCACAGCATAGTGGAAAATTTGTAAAACTTTAACCAGGAGCTTTTTACTTACACAAACTCACTCTCACTGAAAGGAATTATGGCATTGGAGATCATGAATTACTAGCAGTTAAGCTAGCGTTAGAGGAATAGAGACATTGCTTGGAGGGAGAAGCTCACCCATTTCTCATATTAACTAATCATAAGAATACCTCCATTCCGCTAAACACTTCCTCGACAAGCTCGCTGGTCCCTTTTCTTTTCTCAGTTCCAATTCAGTATCTCTTATCGTACCAGTTCATGTAATTACAAAGCTGATGCCTTGTCAAGAATTCACCAGTGTGAGCCCATTCTTCCTCCCTCTGTTCACATAGCATCCCTCCGATGGGAGACTGATGAAGGGATCACCGAAGTCCTTAGAAAATTGCAACATCCCTGATAGCTGTCCACAAAAAACGATTCATGTGCCAGTTCAATTTTAACTCCTTAAAACTCCTTAGTTTGTTTGTCCACTCAAATGACACTGTTTCAGTGTATCTTCAGGGTATCAACCCCCACTCGCACCATGGACTGCTTCTCCATCTGTTATCCTAGCTGTCCATGATTGGATGCAATGCAGCAAGGAGGTCTGGGAACAATATCACTGTAGCATCAAGGTAGCCCTCCAATGTGCCAAGGAGCAGGCAGACCAACAGCATGGGGAGACCCAATCCTTTAGCCAGGAGACCGGGTTGGGTTGTCCACCTGGGATCTCAGGTTTGGGGAGGGCAGTCTTAAGTTACAACCTAAGTATGTCGGTCCATTCCAAATTGCTGTGACAAATAATGTCACAAACAGACTTAATTTACCTGTTCAGTTCTGTATCTCACCCTCTTTTCATGTGTCCCCCCTTAAGCCTGTGGTCCCCAGACCACTGGACAAGGTATCGCATAACGAGGCACTGCCAGCTGGAGGTGGATGGTGCCCTGGTCTACGCTGTCTGTCAGGTGCTGGACTCTCAGCAGTGTGAGGAGATCCTCCAGTATCTGATAGACTGGAAGGAATACGGACCAGAGGAGAGATGCTGGGTGCCAGCAAAGGATGTTCTGGACCCTGGGTTAGTGGCGGATTTCCATGCCAGGCATGGGTTCGAACTCACTCACAGCCGGTGCCAAGTCAACGCACTCAATCAGCCAAAAAAGACTGACTGATGAAGACTGACTGGAGTCAATGGTGCCATACACACTATTCTGACTAAGTGAAACAGAAAGCTGCCAATGCTTACCAGCGGCCTGGCAGCGTCCAACGGGTTGATATTCGTCTTGGTGTTTCCTGGACCTATTATTCAAATTTCTTTTAATGAATGCTTTCCAAAATCACAAATTCTTGATGGATGACATTGTTTTTTTATGTACCCACAACATCATCTGGCATACCACAAGTACCATAGTTTGGGAACCACTGATGTAGATCTTTTTCTTTTGCCATTTTGACCCAAAAGTTCAAAAAGGTCAATTGGGCCTGCATAGCCACAGAGCATCTGCACTGGTTATGTTTCTCTACTCATTTATCCAGGTTTTAATTTAATTTGTCACCCATCTATATGTTATATAACTTGTCATTGTCATCACCATCATCATCATCTTTATCATTGTCAGTTTAATAAGTTTGAGGCCCCTTCACAAAAACATACATAGTATTATGGCCTTTATAAGATCTTACATTTGTTCATTATAACATTAGTCATGTAACTACAAGTACTAACAATGACTCATGCCATTCACTAAAAGGCAAGGGTGTCAAGTCTTATCCACAAAGGGATGGTGTGGCAGTAGCTTTTCATTCCAAACCAGCTGGAGCACACCTGAATATGTCAAATCACTTGGGCTCAGTCTTTGAACAGTTGATCTCATGTGTTTTGAGAAGGGTCTGGCTGCAGACATGCACTTTCAGCCTACATGCGCCACCAGCCTATTGATGACGTCAGTGCACGCTCTGTAACGACAGTTTTTTTGTCGGTTTTATGAGGGAAAACAGCGAACTACGTACTGTTTCTGCTATTGTGGCTGAGAGTGCATCTGGCTGAAAGTGCATGTCTGCAGCCATGTCTGCAACCATGTCTATTGTGTGTTCCTGCTTGTTCAGAATGAAACATGCAGCCACACCAGACCTTTGTTGATAAGATTGGACACCCCTTATGTAAAGTGTAGTGTTTGTATGCTTGAGTGTAACGTCTTCACACCACACTAATAAATAAAGGACTCTTTACTGATTCTTCTTTTTGTTAGCGGGTGTTCCACAACAAGAGAGGGGGAGGAAGAATACTTACTTCAAAATAAGAGTCTTAGTGAACTACAACACAATATACAACATAAAGCATCCTATATAATACTTTATGCATTTAAATATGCAGAATTGATAAGAAGTGTTATTGAAAACAGTAACAAAGATAACTTTGTTTTACAGGCTGAAGATTAATAACTGATACTAATATAAGGTTTTTCTGTCTTAGGAACCCACACACTGTTAGTCATCACATTACATAAGCTTTTATATCTTATGACATTTTTAAAACAAAAAACAAACATTCTGTAAACAACTGTCCATGCACTTAATCTTTTTAATAGAATCAATGTGGACATTACAACTATTTTCTTCATTTCTTATGTTGTCATTGTAAGATAGCATACAAATAATGTATGGCATATTTTAAGACAGTGACAGAAACGTATGTTCAGTGGCAGATACATTTATGATAGATATCCTTTAAAGAGTGGCTTGGTACTTAAGCATTCTTAATCAGTAAATTACATGAAGCCACTCCAAAGATTCAGTTCAATTTTCAGTATTACTAAATGACACAAAAAAGAAATATGACTACAGGTATATACAAATTAAATAGCTAAGCAGCCATTTAAAAGGAATTTAAGAAGTATTAGTCTCTCAAAGTAGTAACATTGTTTATACTGGAAACTTATGTAATTGGTCCTCTGTTTTCAGATGAGATATGATTTTGTTTACATTTGATGTAGTATAGCAGGGAAGAATAAAAGTTCTCATCTCTCATGCCATAGACAAGCGGACTGACTGCCCTGGCGATGACACTGAATGTAATAAAGTTGAAAGAGCGGATTGACAAATATAACTGGGTATCTAGCTCTACAATCACTGCTTCAATGTAGGGATAAATAATCTCAAGAGTACACAGGATAAGCTGAAACATATGCAGTGAGATGGTACGCAGACCTTTGCCTGCTGATTTCTTGTCAACAGTGGCTGTCTGGAGAGCAAGCACAATCATCAAATAGCAAAAGAACTCAGTGAGTAAAATTATGATAAAATTACTAACATTCATTATTCCCCTCATTGTGCGGTGCCATTGCTCTGGTGTCATGATCTCATAATAACAAAGGGTAGGCTCTAAAAAATATTCTTGTGAAACAGTTGCAACAAGGATAAACACATCTATGAATGGCTTTATGGAGCTTATGATCCAGATGATAAGGATAGCAGTAAGAATTCTGCTAGTGGTGGAGATAGCACTATGTCTCAGTGGCATGCAGATGGCCACATAGCGCTCCACACACATTGCAGTGATAGTTAGTGGTGTGCATGTTGATACTGTCTCCATGAGCATGCAAAATGGAATACAGAATGCCATAGGCATCAACACAGAGCCATATGAGAGGATGACCACAAAATCTGTCAGTAGAAGAATAATTACATCAGTCAGTAAGGTGTGGGCAAACAATATGTAACGTGTTTCAGTTCTGAAAGCCTGTTTTCTGTAGAAAGTGAAAAGCATGAGGACATTGATGTAGACAAAAGGCCACACAAAAATCTGGGTTATGGCCAATGATAAGTCCTTCCTCAGTGAGATAGAACTGACCAGTTGCAACTGGTGAAGGCTGCTGCTTTCATTCTGACTGTTATTACAATCTGCTGTGCACATATCTAGGAGAAAAAAGTTTCAAAACAGCAGTGTGACAATTTAACAGACATTAAAAACAAAAGTCAAAGAAAACTTGCTAAAGATGAGCTGCCAATAATTGTACCCATAAAGGACTAGAATGTTGCATAATTAATGATATAGTATAATTAAAAATACATCTCATGCTGTCACAAGTATAAAACTTTACATTTGTGTTGTGACAGCAGTGATAAAGAATGTGAAAATTTCATCAGAAGTCACATCTCTAGTAATATATTTACCTGTGGTAATGATGCAGCCAAATAAAAGAGAGACTCTGGGCAGACTGATATATACTAGACTCATATATATACAGTGTCTGACCAGTCTGATTTTAATATGTAATTGTCGACATCAGGGATTTGCAGTGTTTACTGTGTATGTGCTATAACTGGATGGTGGGGGGAGTTAACCTTTGTGCATGAATTGTTTGGTAGTGCAACATATTCATATAAGATTTAGAAGAGCTTAAAAATTAGAAAAATCCATGTATTTTAGAAATAAACAAGCGACATGATCGAAAAGTAACTAACACTATTTGTTCAGATTGATTTTATGTTGGTGGCCTACATACATCTTATGTATTTTGTTTATAGCTCCTGGCTCTGCAACAAAGACTGATTTTTCCCTCTGAGAATACATATTATGTGACAAGAATTTTACTAAATATTACAAAAGTGTTCATACTTAGTTACTGACTCCACCTTACGTAGACCTTTTCTTCTTCAGGGAAAGCTTCAGGCTTTGTACTTTCTTTGTGAAACAGCACTCTGAATTAAGTCTGAGAGTCTTAACATGTGAAGTTTAATCAGCTGCTCAAATTTATTGACTTCGTTGTGAAGAAATAAATATACCTGCACGTGTAGAGCTCAACTTCTTTTAGAACTCTCTTTACTCATTCTTCCATATACCTCATGACTCAACAGGTTTAACATGTGATGAAACCCATAACAGACTTCACCTAAAGCTTGTGAAGACCATGCATTATGCTTTATTTGATCTTATATACTTTTAGAAAGCTTTGATTCTGAACATAATTTTCCAACAAAAAAGTTTATTTTACTGCATTATCACAGATGCCCAAATATGTGGCTCATGCCACAAGTTACAATGCATTAAGACACAACATTGTTATGAAAGACTGTTTCCTTTGCCAGGCTGCTGGTCACACACATGGCAGGAGTGCCCAAACATGGTTAATCTGATGAGCAGGATCACCTAGTCAGCAGAAGAGGAGATATATCCATGGCTGAATTCTTCAACACCACTTAATGAGACCCACTAAAGTAACACTTTTGGGGGTTGAAGAATTGTTGGGATGTGTGAGCTCTCCATAAGTGTATGGCTGTTATGCCTGTGTTATGATTTTGGAAGTACATGGCCAGAATAACAATGTCATCTTAAGCAGCAATGTCCTGAGGTATCAAAGAGTTGAAACTGGGGAATGACTTCATGGATAAGTTGATATCCTGTGGAATCTTTGAAGCTGATGAAGACACTTATTTAGCTACTTGCTGATGTGTAGAGAGAGATGAGGACGTCTGAAAAAGTGAGAACTGTTAAGGCGTACAGTCACACATGAATCTCAGAAGGAGCATTTGGTATCGGCCAAACTTTCTGATTGTCTGAATCTGTTAGCAAGCAGTGCTGTTATCATGGAATTGAGCATGACACAAAAAGGGCTGAAACCACCTTCACCGCCAAGTTGATGTTTTGGTAGCACTGGGTACAACTAGTAGTAATGCTTTAATTTCCACAGTGAATCTCACTTTGGGCTATTGCAATGTTGAAGTACATCAAGGTGTATCGCAAGTACACTGCTTTTACCTCACACCAAATGAAGAGCTTGGGCTAAAGAGACTTGAAACGGTCACTGAAAGGCTGAAGACTCAGAACTTAATTTTGGCACCTAAAAATGTAGCTTTATTCAAAAGTCAGTAAAGTTTCTGGGCCACAATGTGAGCAAAGCTGGTGTTGCCACACACTCAGGAATGGTTAAAGTGATTACTGATATGGGAGAAGCTGACCTCATGGAAGATCACATAGATGCTCCTTCAGAGAGGAAAATCTGATCTTTTCTTGGTGTGGTAATGACAAGACAAGCTGGGAAAGTGGCTGAACAGGGAACTAAGGGTGCCAGCCTAACAAAGAACTAGGAACTGGCGCTGGAATAGTTCACAGAGCAAGCACTGTAGCAGTTTGGGGAGACAGCACTGGACTGACCTGAGGACCATGCCCGGGACTACACAGATGTTGTCCAGAACCTCCTTGAGGCCGACCGAAAGTCTTTTTCTATGGCTTCTCCAAACTCCTCCCATGCCCTGGATTTTGCTTCTGCCACCATTGAGCCACCACCTTTTTTGCCTGTCGGTACCTAACTGCTGAGTCACAGCTACGTCTGGCAGCTTCCACAATGGAGGTTTTGAACAGGGTCCATTCAGACTCCATGTCCCCTACCTCCTCTGGGACATGAGAAAAGCTCTCACGGAGATGGGAGTTAAAATCCTTTCAAACAGGGGCCTCCGACAGTCGTTCCAGCACACCCTCACTATTCGCTTGGGCCTACCGGGTCTGACCATCGTTCTTCCATGCCATCTGATCCAACTCACCACCAGATGGTGATCAGTTGACAGCTCAGCACCTCTCTTCACCCGAGTGTCCAGAACATATGGTCCCAAGTCAGATGAAACAACAACAAAGTTGATCATTGACCTATGACCCAAGGAGCTCTGGTACCATGTACACTTATGAACATCCTTGTGTTTGAACTTGGTGTTTGTTATGGACAATCCATGCCTGGCACAGAAGTCCAATAACAATTCACCATTCGGGTTTAGATCGGGCAGGCCGTTCTTCCCAATCACACCCCTCTCCAGGTCTCCCAGTCATTGCCAACATGAGCATTGAAGTCTCCCAGTACGACTATGGAGTCTGTAGGCGGGACACTTTCCAGAACCCCGCCCACTTGTTCCAAGAAGGCCGAATACTCCGACCTGTTGTTTGGTACATAAGCACACACCAGAGTTTTCCTCTCCGCGATTTTAATTCGCATTAAGGCGACACTTTCATCCACTGGGACAAACTCCAACTGCACGGCTGCCAGCCGGGGACTCGTGAGTATCCTCCGGCGCCTCTCACCCTGTGCAACCCCTGAGTAGGAGAGGGACCAACCCCTATCAAACTCCCTGATAGGGGTTGGTCCCTCTCCTACTCATGGGTTGCACAGGGTGAGAGCTTGTGCAGGCTCTTTCCCCCCCAGTGAGGTTACATTCCACGTACCAAGAGCCAGTTTCTGCCG